AAATTGTGTCGACTGGTTACTATATTGTAGAAACAATGTATACATAAATTGTTACATGTGATGAAAGAACAGTAAATTGTGTCGACTGGTTACTATATTGTAGAAACAATGTATACATAAATTGTTACATGTGATAAAAAAACAGTAAATTGTGTCGACTGGTTACTATATTGTAGAAACAATGTACACATAAATTGTTACATGTGATGAAAGAACAGTAAATTGTGTCGACTGGTTACTATATTGTAGAAACAATGTACACATAAATTGTTACACGTGATGAAAGAACAGTAAATTGTGTCGACTGGTTACCATATTATTCTAGAAACATGTATAGATAAATGGTTACATTTGATGAAGTAAGAGTAAGTTGTATTGACTGGTTACCATATTATTGTTTATAGTTACATGACATATAAAACTGATTTATAGAAGGTGAAGTTATCTAAAGAAGGATATATTGTTGTATAAGAAGCTCTTATTGTTGATTATTAGAGATTTAAACAGTTGCTAATGGAAGTTAAATGGCACTTAATTAAGACCTAAAGCTAATTTAACATCTTTCATGTGTTGTCTGGGTTTTTTATATTCAAACTTGTAACTATTTTGTGTGTGGTTTCTTCTCTTCAATGTTTTTTTGTAAGAATAAGTGAAACCATATAATTATGAAATACAGTTGTACCTTTATCTCTATGGAAACTCGTATTTTTGAGGTTTATAGAAGCTAATACATATTGTTTCACCAATATTAATACACCAGGACACGATTTTTCTTATATGGTGTGTCATGGTCGTCGCGAGAATGAGGCTGAGCGTTTTGACGAGTAAACAAAGCAGATTCTCCTCATTCATTCTACCCCTAACTACAGCCAATACATAAGTCATCAGGTAGTTAAACATAAAGATCCACACACTGATATAACTTATTAAACCTCACTCCTTTCAAAGGTAAGGTTTATTAGTGAACTTATGTCTTTTAAGTGGAAAATAAGTGTGATAACCACAGCCCTATGAGTGATAATAGAAGCCTTTTAGGCCTATATTATAGTTAACAACCAGCTTTATACTTTACATCTGGCTCTATATAAACAAACCTATTCCATATAACTTCGAGCTGCCCCTTGTCATTATATTTTGATGTTTATGTTTCGGAATATATTTAGAGTACCTATGACTTAAAACAGGATAAAACATAGGAAAAGGTTACTGCTTATGTAAATGAGATAAGGGTGTAAATTTGGTGTATCTAGATTTACAGAAACACTTGACAAGGTGCCACATAATAGGCTTGTACAAAAAGTTTTCTGTATAGGTGTGGAGGATAAGTTAGCTAATTGGATAGAAGAATGGCTGGATGGAAGAAAGTAGAGGGTTGTTACAAATGGAGTTCAGTCAAACTGGATTAACGTCACAAGTGGGGTACCTTAGGGTTCAGTCTAGGAACCTTGACTCTTGTTAATTTATATCAATAACACTGGTGAAGGAATGGTCAATAAAATACTTAAATTTGCAGATGATATTAAGGTCTTGGGTGTTTATAGCTGTGAAGAGGATGCTGCTGATATAATAAAGGATTTACATTTAGTGATTTGGGCAAATGATTTTAATTATAATAAATGCAAGATAATACAATATGTAATTTGGATGGAAATAAACTTAACGAGTATTAACCTTAATACTGTCAAATGTTTTGAAAATCCAGATACACCAAATCTACACCCTTATCCTCATCTACATAAGCAGTAACATTTTCAAAGAATGTTAAAAAATGTGTACGGCAAGATTTTCCCTTAGTGAAACCATGTTTAACTATCCAATAAAATTATAAACTTTGTTATATGGTTTTGCAAAGCATATTTTATCAGACTTTCCAAAACTTTTCCCACAACTGATGTAAGACTAACAGGCTTACAATTACTGGATGATAATATAGTTTAACTGGTAATTATTGGCTTCAATGCCCTGTTATAATAATGATTCCATAAAGTTAACTTAAAGTTACAAAATCCTTCGAATAACTTCACATAAAGTGATTTGAAGGTATACAGATGGGTATTCAAAAACCACGTGCTGGTTTGTTTACTCGTCAAAATAAACGTGGTCAATATGGCCGCCGAAGCGTGTTCCTGTTGATTTATACAGTAAACGCCTATCAAATGTTACTACTTCCTTTCCCTACCTTAGTTGATAAAAGACAAAACTGAAGCAGATATAAAGGTTTTCATAAACTATTTGTCTACAACTTTGATCACTATTAATATTTGTTTATTATTCAAACGCCAGAAGGTGAAGTTTCTGCCTAAGAACTATGATGTGGTTATATTAAACTGGTGACTTCGATATAAATGTGATGTTTTAAGTCTGTTTTCCAATATATTGTAGCGTAAAAAGAAACGGCCATCATTAAGTATGTTATGTTTCTGTCGATAGAAAACTTACATAGGCCTAATTCTGCCCAAATTGTAATGTTTCACTTGTGCTTTCCTTAGTGTCTTTGAAACGTGCCTAATAATTTCTGGTGTTTTGGATTAAATATATATAAACTAACTAATAGTTGTTATTAAAAGCATTTTAGATGGATCCTAATATTTACCCATAGCTGACAAGTTAAAGCAGAGCCAGTTTTAGGGTTGTGCGAAGAGTGCGATCGGATAGGAGGCGCACTGTTCTTTGGGCACCCTTCTAATGCGGTCATTCCCTCACATGAGAAAGAGTGTTGAAGAGATAGCTCCCCCTACGTGTAGATTTTTACTGAAAACATTTTCTAATTACCTGTTAACAATGCCTTACTTAAAGAGGCCCCAATTGTAGACCTTGCTGGACAGTGGTCAGTCTTTTTTTATTTTCACATTCTATATTGTTACATTAATATATATATATATATAATTAACTTGACACTGATTGGCTGAAGTTCAAGTTGTGTGTTCAAACCTATTTTCACATGCAGTTGCTGTGTTTTGGTAACTCTGGTGCTTTAGCAACATCCACACTTTCATCTGGACTGAAGTGTTTATGTAGTGAAAACGTGTGACGTAGCTTTACTGTGTTTGTTAACTGGAAGTGTATTTTGTACCTTTTATTCTGTAGGGAGATTCTCTTATTTATAGGGGCCAAAGTCATCCTCATGTGATATCTCGACCCTTGTGGGCCATTTAGTAGTGGCTATATGGTAATAAACTGTATCTTTTGCCCAACGTGAATGTATAGTACGTCGCGTGACAATAACAGTTATGTTAGTTATTGGATGTACTTCCAGCTGAACAAATGTTTTTTTGTCTTTCCAGTGAACGATTTTGTCCTAACCTCGAGGAAACATTAAAATCAATTGTATTCGTGTGTGATAAATATTGTGTATAAATATAAAAAATTGATTTTTTTTGTGTACGTGCTCAGTGCCATCACAACAACAGCTTAATGTTTGTGTCTACTTGTGTAGTACCGTCTTTCCCGAAATGGTTGTGACGTATAAATTTCATTGGTACGGTTAATGTTATGTAATTATTTCCAACCTTATTTGTTATAAATACAAATCATATTATACTAAATATTAAATAAATGAGTTCAACTGATTCACTTTTATATTACTGTCTTGGAAGGTGTCAAAAACAAAACGTATTCTCAATGTCTTTTAAAACACGTAACATCAGCTAACACAGACAGAACAAGTATTGTTGTACTACATTAACAACAGCTAACACAGACGTAACAAGTATTGTTGTACTACATTAACATCAGCTAACACAGACGTAACAAGTATTGTTGTACTACATTAACATCAGCTAACACAGACGTAACAAGTATTGTTGTACTACATTAACATCAGCTAACACAGACAGAACAAGTATTGTTGTACTACATTAACATCAGCTAACACAGACGGAAGAAGTATTGTTGTACTACTATAACATCAGCTGACACAGACGAAACAAGTATTGTTGTACTACTATAACATCAGCTGACACAGACGGAACAAGTATTGTTGTACTACATTAACATCAGCTAACACAGACGGAAGAAGTATTGTTGTATTACATTAACATCAGGTAACACAGACGGAACAAGTATTGTTGTACTACATTAACATCAGCTAACACAGACGGAACAAGTATTGGGACTTTTGAATATAAAATTGTATTTTTGAAGAGCACACATTACATAAACAATGTTCTACGAAGAACATTAAGGATTATGATCCGAAGATAATTTTCCAAATTATAAAATTTAGTGTTTTCACGAAGAAACAAATATTTTTTTTAAAGTCGAAATACTTTTGTGTGTTTTAATACAACAATAATATATGATATCCAATTGTTTAAAAATCCTTCAAAAAGGAAAAATAGCAATTTTACTTTTTAAAAAAAGAGGGAATCCT